AAGACATGAGAATAGAAACCGTAAAACCCGGACCGGACCGACCCGTTTCAAACAGGACGGGTAATTTCCGGTTCCTATTTTGAAAATTGTAATACCCGAATCGGACCAAACCGTTCAATGGAACCGGCGGTTCCATTTTATTTTGCATTACCCGCCCCGACCCAGCCCGTGCCCAGTCCCTGCCCAGCCCGTGCCCAGCCCGTGCCCAGCCCTACAAGGTAGTGGGGGCATTGCATTTTTAAGAGTAGTGACGTCAGTAACTCAGTATACCCCTCACCCCACTAAAGGAACAAATAAGCAAATCGGAGAATCAAAAAACGGTCTTTGAGTCTAATGTTGTGTCTTACTTACCCAAGCCCGACCTCCGCCCCCCAATTTGATCGATCCCCAAGTGTTCTAAACAATGAACATTTTCTCCTTTAATTTGTTCTCGTATCTCTTCAGTATCCAAGAATCCAAAGCTAGATAGTTATAGCATGCCACTATCTCTGATCTCTTCGAATGTTGGCCTTTGATAAACATCCTTACAAATGTATTTGAGTTGAAAATAATATTAGTATATAACTTTAATTTAAATGTACCAATTATGATTTAAATAGCAAATAAGATTTAAATAGCAATTTATACTCTTTTCACTCTTTTGAAAGATGAATACTATTGAAATATTTCTCACAATTTCAATGTATACACTTTTCCACTCTGCGTATGATAATAAAATAAAAATAATACAAATCCCTCAATCCACATTATTCTGCTGGATGACCATTTCAACTTACAATAAAGGTTGGAAAGTGGAGAAAGCGGTCTATCTCCCTCTACGAGAGTTTTTTTTAGGTTTCCTCTAGCATCTTGCGTTGGGTGAGGATATCCGCCATAGGCGTGCGACAGCTTTAACTTGATAATTAAGATTGTTCTAGAGTTGATTCTGCAGAAGAGCATGATTGGAGCGGTAAGGCCGGCGGCAGGGTGCTTTCTCTCGTTGAGACCCAAGGTTATCGATTCCCTGCAGCCACGAGGTTTCTGTTAGGGGTGCCGCAAAGCAGGGTAGCAAGGGCATGACAGTGATGAAGATGACCGCTAGTGGTGGATTTGCTACGAGCGCGGGACGAGGAGAGTTGCACGGATTTTGAGCAGACTAGATGACGATTGACAATGGGGAATCAATTAGAGTGACACCAATGGTACATACAGCCTCTTCCTGAACCACCGCCATGGGTTGTACGAGGTGCTAGAGTCCGTGAAAATTTTTCTTTTAGTTATTATTATTTTGTCTTTTGGTTTCTTGTTACCGTCTTTGTTGTTAGGTTTGTCAGTTTGTTTAGGATTTCAGCCTTTTTTATGTCATTGAGTATGTTTGGATCTATGGGAACAAGGATGGCTGTGTTAAGCCCGCTACATGTTCAGCGATTCGTGTTGTTCTTTCAGGGGTGACCGTCTCTAAGTCTGATCATAGGATTTACAGTCGTAGTTGTTGGAATTTAGTTGATGCCAGATTTGTTTTTCCTTTGATTGATGTAATGATTTTGAAACTTATAAATATTAAAAAAAAGGTTGGAAAGTGGAGTAATTAAATCATTAAATGAATTCACTGTTCAAGTGTCCCTGACCTATAACTTCTTACTAAAGCCAATAAATAATACAATTGCAACAGCAAAATAAACATTGTTAAATGCAATAGAGTTCACATCTATCATTTTGCATTTTAAACACGTTTTTACTTTATAATTTTATACATTCATTGTCCGTAATAATGTAGTTATACGGAATGATGAAAATATGTATTAGTATAAATTAACTTTTATTTTTATTTAACTTAAAGAATTCATATTGATGAAATAATAAATATTCATCTCAACTATATCACATAGAACGTATATGACTATATACTCATGAACTTTTTTTGAACTAGTCACAAACAATGTAGATTAGTAATATATATTTTTATCTCTCTCGCATACTCATATAATTCAAGACATATTTATTTATTTTCATTTTTATTTTATTTGTTGTAGTGTGCTTGCATTCTTTATGTAATACTATGTATATATTTGATCCCTCAAAGTATTATAACAATTTAATATCAAATGATAGTTTTTTGGCAAAAAACCGAAAAAATCGAAACCGAATCGAAACAACCCGAATCGATCAAACCGTGGCTCCAAGTTTTGAAGTGTAAAACCGAACCGAAACCGAACCAAACTTCTTACTTTGATTCTATATTTGGTTTTAGGTCAAAACCGAACCGCAAGAACCGAACCCACCCTAATGGGTGTGGAGAGATCGTGTCTTCTAGCCTTCGTGTATACGGAGTTTATATAGGATTCCTTATTTTCGACCCCGACTCACATTCTCTGGAAGCTACATATAGGATCAGAAATTTCCCAAAACAGTATCAAACCTAATCGTTCTCCCTAGCTTATTAAATAAAAAAATTGCTCTAATTAAAGCTAAAACATAGACAAATTATACAAATAATAATTACTTATATTTTATTTCTAAAATGCAATTTGTTCTAGGGGCATGGAAAAAGGAACAAATATACCCTCTAGTATCGGTGTGAGAACAAACATATAATATATACGGAGTATGTTCTATTTTTTTAGAACAAAATATACCACTAAAGTTTATGTGGACGTGCGTATATAGCCCTGATTTTTTTTATCGTGCCCTGAAATTTATAAAGTGCAAATACCCATCATTTTCCTATAAAGGAGCCAATTTACACTTATCGACTTTAAATAGCTAAATTAAATTTCAAAAAAACATCAAAAATAAATTATAAATTTGAAATTGAATAATAAAAAATCTAATTCTGTCTAGTAATTCTCGCTTTTATTATTTTCATTTCACAATTTAGTAATGGGAAAAATAATTAAAATACCCCAAACTTTAAAGGGGTGTGAGATAAACACCCCAAACTTTCATATGTATTTTAAATACCCCAAACTTTATATAAATAGTCATTTTAACACCATGATCATGTATTATTTCTCTCAAAAATGTAGATTTATGGTGTTAATTACATAATTTAAAATAGCAAATTGAAAATGATGCAATTATATAGAGTGTGTGGGGAGGCGGGGTAGTATTATTTTACAATAGAAGTTTAGAATGTTAATTTCATCTTCATGAATGCTAAAAAATTCAAAATATCCAATTAACACCATAAATTTACATTTTTGAATGAAATAATACATGAATGTGGTGTTAAAATAAATTTTTATATAAAGTTGGGGGTATTTAAAATACATATGCAAATTTGGGGTGCTTACCTCACACCCCATCAAAGTTTGGGGTATTTTAATTATTTTCCCCTTTAGTAATTTACTATAAAATATTATTTCAAAATTGTACTATATGTTTAAGATTCTTTCGGAAAAGTGTTAACATAAACAACGTACGTTGTGATGTACAAAAAAAATCAAGTTTTTGTATTCAAAAGGGAGAATCAGCCTGATATGCAATGATTTGAAGCATAAGGCAATTTATGTGATTCCAATTTGTTTTTCTCGAAGTGAATTACTTTTCAGCCCAGTTCAACTGAGGTTCCTGCTTCGGTTACTTTCAACAACGAATTGAGGTCGGAGTGTGTTGAGAAATTCAGCCCCAATTAGGATCTAATCTCACTAAAGATGATAAAATTCATAGATTCAAGCAATAAGAACACTAACCGGTCGAGGAGAAACCAGACGTTGATGGCGTTGTAGAAGATATGAAATCATGATGTGTAGGTGTTCTTGAGACTTTTTGGAAGAATCATATTCTTTCGTTTTTGTCGTAAGAATGGAATGAACGAGTGTTTTATCTTGTATCAAAGAGAATTCCATTTGGTATCTTATGCATGTATTATTTAATGTCAAAATATATACTCATCGTATGTTAACTATAGATAAATATAGGATCAGTCCTGTCATATGACAAACGTAATGATAAGACATAAATGTCCTCTATATATATGTCAAATTATGTTGTTAATGGACCAAGGACATTTGAATGAAATATTTTCCAATATTGTGGAGAAAACTAGCTTAGGTAACCCATACTTCTAACATCATTCCCAAGTATACAGATGATATAGTTGAAAAAATCACATTACCACAAGTATTGCTTGCATACAAAATTAAAACATTAGCTACTGACGTGCACTTTGTCACGGTGCGTCAAAATAAATTCAATACTAACATTTATACGTAGTATAGTGTAGTAGAGTTCGTATCCACAAGGAAAGGAATAACTTTCTTTTTATATAAATAGTAAGTAAAAGGGGGGTTTTGATTGAGTGATTTAATTAAATTTAAACACGAAGATGAACGATTTATATGAGATTTAATTCAAAGATAAAATTGACTTGGTATTGCTACTTTCCACTTGTTGATATATTTTAGTCGATCATTGTTATATCTATAACTTATCTCCTCTCGAATACTCAATCGAGGAGTATATCCAATTCATCGAGGATAGTTACTAACAACGACCGTTCATTAATAACCCTTACTATTAGTCAAGTATAGAACAACGCCATATACCGACTTGATAGTAGCATTTAATCTTTTAACTCCTTGATGAAATCAATTGAGATTGATAACCTTAACACAACGGTTTCGGTTTAACCAACAAAATTAATCCCTCTTAAGTCTATTAACCACGACCGTGCATTAATAAACCGAAGTTACTTACTTGTGAAACTATCAACGATTAACCATCGGTTCGTTGATCATTTCTAGTAGTAATTAATATATGAAACAAAACTAGTTGATCCTTTAAGTAATGTTCAAAATATTAATATGAAATATGCATAGGAATTAATTAATACTCAAGGAAGAATATTAAAGGGAATGAATCCTACTATAGTTAAATATCAAGATGTTAACTAATTGTCATCTTAGTAACACTCCCCGATATTAACATAGAGGAAGGAATAGCTATTACTAAAACCAATGTCAAGATGTTAACTAATTGTCATCTTAGTAACACTCCCCAACATTGATATAGAAATAGTATTTAAAGGAAGAATTAATATTCAAGGAAAAGAAGTTAAGAAAATAACTCACAACTTTAATAATCAACAAGCTTCAAGAGCAATACCAAGAAATGGAAGTTTAGCTCCTCATTTGGAGACTAAACATGCTAAAAGAAATATAGAGAAATGCTATTCTAAACTGAGCTTAAGAGTATATAGGAATTGGTGTCTAAAAGTGAAGGAAAGGGGGTGTATTTATAGGCTTTTTGAGGTGCAGGATCGAGTACTCGATCGAGTATGTATACATACTCGATCGAGTATGTATAGAAATCAGAATTTGGTCAATACTCGATCAATACTCGAGTAGATTTTATATGCATACCCGATCGAGTATATAAGCATACCCGATCGGGTATAGACACTCGAACGTGGGAAAATCTTCTCCTGCATGTTCCTTTGTTTTCGGATCCGATCCGATTTGAAATGTCAACCAGATACCCGATCGAGTATATGTATATACTCGATCGAGTATAGACCAAAATCAGGATTTTTCCTTCTTTTTGTCTTGTACTCTTGCACCTTCCTTCACCATTGATCATTTGATTGATCTTGGACCTGTTTAAGCTCAGAATAAACCTAATCTAAACAAATTACAAGAATTTAACAAACTAAACTATTACACCGAAAGTGTGTAATTTCCGAAATATTAAACAATCAAAACTAACTAAAAGCGTAAATAAACATACGGAAATTACAAACGTATCAACTCCCCCACACTTAGTTCTTTACTCGTCCTCGAGTAAAGTCAAATGTTCAAACAGTTTAAGACCATTCCATGAGTTCAAGAAAGAAATGAACTAAGATCACCAAGAAATAGGAAAATGATTTTTACAAACAACTTTCTTTCTTGGGTTTTATGATCTTCTATGCTCCTTCTTGCCTCTTCTTCTTTGCCTCCTCTTCTTTTCTCCTCAAGAGATCAAATGGTTTCCTGCACACAACAAATATTTCTCTCATATCTCTCATTTTGCCTAGGAGCCTTTTCAGGTTTTCATCCTAGCATCTCTTTTTGTTTTTCCATCCTTACTAACTCACTCATTTCAATTTTTTTTATAAGCCATTTTTTTGCTTAGATTGCCCATTTTTGGGTTTTCAACCTAACTAGCATTTCAATTCTTTTATCCATTTTTTTTTTTCTCTTCTCCTTTTTTTTTTTTTGTTTACAAAGGGTAAAAGAAATTCATGCATAGTGAAAGGTAGAAAATGAAATTACATACCATGAGTAATCTCCTCCCCCACACTTAGTTGAAGCACTGTCCCTAGTGCCCGCCTTCTCCGCCGTAGAAACCGCCTCCAAAGCCGCTTCCAAAGCCTCCTCCAAAGCTCCCATCGCCCATGTGGGTGTCGCCGCCATCATCCCCTCCATCAAAACCTCCACCCCCGGAGCTAGATCCTCCAAAATTACCCCATTGAGTGGGGTCATACCAAGAGGGGGGTGGTGGTGGTTGAGCCATGGTGTGGAATTGGCCTTGATGAGCCATGTAAGAGTACATCGGTCCATAGAACCTACGTTGATCCTCTTCATACCGTCGGTTGTCTTCGGCCCTTTGCTCTTCTATTCTTTGAAATCCTGCCCTTTGTTCCTCCCGATACTTACCAACTTCGTTAGTAACTCTATTAAATCCGTCAAGCAGTTGTTGGAAGTAATCGGGAGGTGGGAAAGCTTGGTTAGGTGCGGGCATGTGGTGATGTGCAACCTCGGGTTCTTGGTACTCGGGTTGAGGCTCTTGGTCGGGTTGGTCTTCGGGGAGATCTTGGGCTTGTGGTTCTTGGAGATGTGGTGGTAGGGCGTGAGGGAATAGGTAGTGGGGCACCTCGAACTCCGGCCTGTAGATGATTTTGGGAGTGTCGGGGTTTGGCAAAAGGAAGTATTGGACCGGCTGGACGTGTATGATCCAGTTGTACATGTGTTTTGGTTGGTCTCCAATGTACACTGTATGAGAAAAAGAGGTGCAGCCTGATCGGCCTAACCAACCTATGTCCATCAAACAATATTCGGGTATAGGAGAGTTATCCGTATACCCGAATTTTCCGGCCAAGTGCATAATTACCCCTCCCAAAACAATGGCTCCTTTGGCTACGCTTTCTTTTTTCAGATGTGCCCACATGAGATTGCATAGATTAAAGTCTACGTGACGACGGAATAGGGCCACAGACATCAAACAAACGTCCCCAATTCTAGTGTGATGGTTGTTGGGACGGCCAAGCAAGCAATTGGCTAAGAATTTCAAGAATAACCGGAGGACGGGGTGTTGGACATGACTAATATACATTTGGGAGGAGTTAAAGCTCATTTCCCCGGTCATCTTTGTCCATAGGGAGTGCCCAAAAATGGTGTTATCCGAGATGGCTCTCTCGTAGGGCACCGGGATACCAAAGTGTTCAGCAAACTCGAGTTTCGTTATTGAATAATTTCGGTTAAACAGACGAAACTCGAGTCTATCATCCCTAAAATCCGCCTCATCACTTTCAAATTTCACCGAACTCAAGAATTCGTAGATAATCCGTTCATTAGAATTGTATTTCATATTGAAAATACGGTCCATATCTAATGCATGAAAGAATTTTCTACAACTCTTATAGACTCCTAATTCTCGTAGAGCATCATGGCATAGAAAACGGGAAGGTTTTACTTGCCTTTTTGTTGTTGCTAGGAGTCTAGTTCGGTGTTCGGCGTCGGCGGGAATGATGTCTTCAAAGCCCGGGATGGGTGCTATGGTGATTGAGCTCTCTCCCCTACTCTTCCTTGGTGCCATTGTTGATGAATTTGAGCTTGAAGAGGCAAAAATTCGAATGGGGTAGGGTTTTTTGGGATTTGGTGGAAGTTTGGGGAAAATGGGATTTTTGGGTATAGATATGGAGAGGAGAGGAAGGGGAGTATTTTGGTGGAAGAATGGGTTGATTTGGTGGAGAATTGAGAGAGATATGGTAGAGAGAAGGGTTGAAAATGGAGTTTGGGGGAGAGATTGTTCGAAATATTGAGAGTTTTGGGGAAGATGAAGTGTTTTGGGGTGTATTTGGGGTTATATCCGCAGGGGTACCCGATCGAGTATCCCTGTATACCCGATCGGGTACCGGAGACAGGGGCTGGAAAAACTGGCTTTTCTGAGCATACTCGACCGAGTATTGATATGTACTCGATCGGGTATAGGAGGCAGGGGCTTATTGCTTTCATTTTTCCACCAATACTCGATCGAGTATCAACCTGTACTCGATCGAGTACAGGAGACAGATTTTTTCTTCTTCTTATTTCAGTTCATACTCGACCGGGTAAAGAGGTATACCCGATCGATTATGCATCCATTTTTAGAAATATATGGCTACTTCGATCGAGTAGTGCCTCGGTTCCTCTTTTTAGACAATACCCGACCGAGTATGAGGTGGTACTCGATCGAGTATGTCCCCAGACACTTCAAAACCTGCATTTTCTTCTTCTTCAAAACAAAACATGTGATTAGTTCCCTCTCTCTCTTTTCTCTCAAATTTACACAAAAAGGAAATAAAATCTAACTAATTGACTTGGGTTGCCTCCCAAGAAGCGCCTTATTTAACGTCGTGGCACGACGTTTTATTTATTTTTATTTTATGTGGGATCGTGAGCATCCCTTCCTTCATTTCTTTTCTTTTGCCTTTTCCAGTAAGGCCGACCTTTCTTCCTTGTTCCCGACTCAATTAAAGCATTTGGCGTTGGTGGTTCAAAAACATTTAAAGAGCAAAGAGATTGATCTTTAATTTGTTTTTTCGTAGAGTTGAAGATATTGAACTCTACTTTTTGGTCATTGAACTCTAAAGTTAATGAACCACTAGACACGTCAATTTTTGTTTTTGCGGTCTTTAAGAAGGGTCTTCCCAAGAGGATGGGTGCCGTTTGGTCATCATTCCCCATTTCGAGGACGTAGAAGTCGACGGGAAAAACCATATTCTCTACTTCTACTAGCACATCCTCTAATACACCCTTCGGGTAGGTACTAGAACGATCTGCTAGTTGAATCACTACACCGGTTTGATGTAGTGGGCCAAGTTGTAGGGTTTTATAAACGGAATAAGGAATGACGTTTATAGATGCCCCCAAATCTAGTAAGGCCTTAGGAAATGTGGTGTTTCCTATCGTGCAAGGAATAGTGAACATGCCCGGGTCGTCACATTTTTTTGGAAATTTTTTCTGAAAGACGGCCGAGACATGCTCACTAACTTCAACCTTTGGTTTCCCCTTTAATTTATCTTTTCTTTTTATTACACATAGTTCTTTCAAAAACTTTGCATAACGGGGAACGCTTTGGATTAGTTTAAAGAGTGGGGTATTTACCTCACAATCGGCGAAGGTCTTATAGATGTCCCGATCATTCTCTAGCTTCCTTGTATCTTTCAACGCCTCAGGGAATGGAGGGATTGGTTCATATGATGATAGTGGAGGAAATTTTCTCTTCGTTGGCTCCTCCTCTTTGTGGTCAATCTCCTCTTTTTCACTTTCCTTTGCTTGTGATTCCGGGCTACTCCTTAGCATGATGGCATTGACTTGTTGCCTTGGGTTTTGCTCAGTTTGGGACGGGAGCCTACCCGAATCTCTTGCTTCAAGTCGATTTACAGCATTCGAAATTTGGCTAACTTGAGTTTCCAAATTTTGAATGCTTGACTTTGTTTCTTGTTGAAATTGTACCACGTTTTGTTGTAAGGTGCCCATGGTAGTAGCAAGAGTTCGAATCATGTCTTCCGTAGACATACTTGATTGAGAAGGTGGGTTGGCTTGTTGAGGGTTTCCATACCTCAAGTTGGGGTGATCCCTCAATCCGGGATTGTAAGAATTTGAGAACGGTTCATACCTCCTTTGTTGATGGCTTTGGAAACCCAAGGCGTTGACATGCTCTGTTGTGTCTTCTTGAAGAGTTGGGCATGAGTCCGTGGGATGCCCTTGTTGTGTACAGATACCGCAGACCTTGACTTCTTGGGTTTTGGATTTTAGAAGGAAATCCTTAACCAAAGAAGTCAAGCCGGTCACTTGACTTGTCAAGCCGTTCACTTGACTTTCCAACGTGTTGTTGGATTCCGCTGCCATAACTCTCCGAGTTGAGGACCGCCCGTTATATTGTCTGGAGTTCTCGGCTAATTCCGAGATGAGTTCTCTCGCTTGTGAAGGGGTTTTGTTGACAATGCCCCCTCCACACGCCGCATTCACCATGCGGCGATCTTGATCCACAAGACCATCGTAGAAGTAGAGGATGAGGTCTTGTTCGGTGTATCCGTGATAGGGGCAGCTTGCACATAGCTTCTTGAATCTCTCCCAATATTCATAAAGGGATTCATCATCTTTTTGTTCGATGTTGCTTATTTGCTTCTTGAGTGATGATGAAATAGAAGCGGGGTAGTACCTGTCAAGAAAGGCCTTCTTCATTTGTGGCCATGTAGTGATACTTCCTGAAGGAAGATAGAATAGCCAGTCCTTCGCGGTGTCCTTCAAGGAAAATGGGAAGGCTCTCAGTTTGATCTGCTCCTCGGAGACACCATTGGGGCACATGCTTGTGCACACAATGTGGAACTCCGACAAGTGTTTGTTCGGATCCTCCCCTCGTAAGCCATGGAAGGATGGGAGTAGATGAATGAGTCCAGACTTTAGCTCAAATGTGACCCCCGTATCAAGAGTTGGAAAAGTGATACATAGGGGTTGTTGATTAAGATTCGGAGCTGTGAGCTCCCTCAATGTTCTCGTCTCAAGAGCCATAGTGATTGGCTCTTCGGTCTCGCTAGATTGAGAACTAGCACTTGATGATTCCTCCGAAGAAGTATTCGGAAATAAATTCCTAAACCTTTCGAAGGCTTGTTCCGTTTGGGAGGTTGTTTGGTAGATGATTTCGTTTATAGATCGGGTTCTTACCATATACTCAAACAAAGCTCAGAAGAAATAGAAGTCTTTATACTTCAATTATATTTTTTTCTTTTTCTTTAAAATAAAATAAAAAGAAAAATAAATTGCCTTTCCCCGGCAACGGCGCCAAATTTGACGTGCACTTTGTCACGGTGCGTCAAAATAAATTCAATACTAACATTTATACGTAGTATAGTGTAGTAGAGTTCGTATCCACAAGGAAAGGAATAACTTTCTTTTTATATAAATAGTAAGTAAAAGGGGGGTTTTGATTGAGTGATTTAATTAAATTTAAACACGAAGATGAACGATTTATATGAGATTTAATTCAAAGATAAAATTGACTTGGTATTGCTACTTTCCACTTGTTGATATATTTTAGTCGATCATTGTTATATCTATAACTTATCTCCTCTCGAATACTCAATCGAGGAGTATATCCAATTCATCGAGGATAGTTACTAACAACGACCGTTCATTAATAACCCTTACTATTAGTCAAGTATAGAACAACGCCATATACCGACTTGATAGTAGCATTTAATCTTTTAACTCCTTGATGAAATCAATTGAGATTGATAACCTTAACACAACGGTTTCGGTTTAACCAACAAAATTAATCCCTCTTAAGTCTATTAACCACGACCGTGCATTAATAAACCGAAGTTACTTACTTGTGAAACTATCAACGATTAACCATCGGTTCGTTGATCATTTCTAGTAGTAATTAATATATGAAACAAAACTAGTTGATCCTTTAAGTAATGTTCAAAATATTAATATGAAATATGCATAGGAATTAATTAATACTCAAGGAAGAATATTAAAGGGAATGAATCCTACTATAGTTAAATATCAAGATGTTAACTAATTGTCATCTTAGTAACACTCCCCGATATTAACATAGAGGAAGGAATAGCTATTACTAAAACCAATGTCAAGATGTTAACTAATTGTCATCTTAGTAACACTCCCCAACATTGATATAGAAATAGTATTTAAAGGAAGAATTAATATTCAAGGAAAAGAAGTTAAGAAAATAACTCACAACTTTAATAATCAACAAGCTTCAAGAGCAATACCAAGAAATGGAAGTTTAGCTCCTCATTTGGAGACTAAACATGCTAAAAGAAATATAGAGAAATGCTATTCTAAACTGAGCTTAAGAGTATATAGGAATTGGTGTCTAAAAGTGAAGGAAAGGGGGTGTATTTATAGGCTTTTTGAGGTGCAGGATCGAGTACTCGATCGAGTATGTATACATACTCGATCGAGTATGTATAGAAATCAGAATTTGGTCAATACTCGATCAATACTCGAGTAGATTTTATATGCATACCCGATCGAGTATATAAGCATACCCGATCGGGTATAGACACTCGAACGTGGGAAAATCTTCTCCTGCATGTTCCTTTGTTTTCGGATCCGATCCGATTTGAAATGTCAACCAGATACCCGATCGAGTATATGTATATACTCGATCGAGTATAGACCAAAATCAGGATTTTTCCTTCTTTTTGTCTTGTACTCTTGCACCTTCCTTCACCATTGATCATTTGATTGATCTTGGACCTGTTTAAGCTCAGAATAAACCTAATCTAAACAAATTACAAGAATTTAACAAACTAAACTATTACACCGAAAGTGTGTAATTTCCGAAATATTAAACAATCAAAACTAACTAAAAGCGTAAATAAACATACGGAAATTACAAACGTATCAGCTACCTGCCTGCCTTCAAAGGTCAGGAGGTGCCAACCGACAGAACTCTACCTCAACCTGATCAAGTTCATCTTTGCCGGGATGGTCATAGATTTCAGCTTGAAATGTTTTCATCGGTCTGCCAAATGAATTCTGATCGATGGCCTTGAAGGTGATATAGTTTAGAAGGGCTGCTGCATTCCACTTGATTAACTCCGTGAATTGAAAGTTCGTATTCTGCACATTTAGAAGGCATAAAGCCTAGGTAAAAGCTCTAGCTCTAGCTAGAAAGGCCATTTAAAAGATCATGGCATTGAAAAAGAAGCATAAAAAAGGGAAATATAGATGCATAGAACTAACATGCTGCTTGTTATATGTCTCAATTGCAAGCTTGCAATATTTGGAACCTATTTCACGCATGTACTCCGAATGTGCAAACACCACTGGAACTATCTGCCCCTCCATCACAAATTCATCAGGAAACTTTGGAACATCGAAGCCCTGAACGTGCGGATCGAAAAACAAAGAAACTCAAAGCAATCAGAAAGAACCTACTGATTAAATCCACACCATATCAGTGAAAGCAATATAAAAGACAATCTTGAGTGCTACCTCCATTGTAACATTGCTAGCATCTAATATGAAAAATCAAGTTATTATGTAGTAACCAGGAGTGCTGAAATCTGATATCCAAATGTAGACATGCTTTGAACAATCTAATAAGTAATATGTTAATTTTCTATTGTATATGCAAGATTTTCATAAAATTTTCATACTTTTATTAGATTTATTAGATATTACTACCTCCGTCCCAATTAAATTGATTTCCAAAATTGGCTTTTCTTGGTCAAAAAGTTTAAATTTATTCACTTAATTGGGATGTCAAATTTTAATTTTATTCTAATTTGGAATTTGTAGCTTTGAAGAAATTTTAATGTGATTTCTGAATATGTAAATTTTAATTATTAAAAATTTAATTAATTATCAATACAAACGACTTAAACACATCTGTAATATAAATGAATGCCCTACAACGTTGGCCGGTACATCCACACAGCACAAATGAGAACTCATCACATACACAAGGGTACTCATTTGGCAACTACTAGGCGGGTTATTGTTCGGGGAACAAAATCAAATTATACTTTTTAGAGTTGTTGCAAGGACCACTCAGTGATGCACGATGGTGGAGCTGGGGCTCAGCAGTATTGGGATACCTGTATCACAACATGTGCAAGGCCGCCAAAGCAACCGGGAAAAAATTGGGGGATGCTTGCTTCTATTACGTTTTTTTGGAGAATTCTTTCTAACCTATATAGTATCTGCTCAATGTTAATGTCAACATCCTTGAACTGGGATGAGATTCGAACCTATGACCTCCTTCTTGAGAGTGTCACAACAATGCCATCAAACCACAAGGTACTTGGCACTTTTATTACGTTTTTTTGTACTTTTAAATTGTCAATTGAAATTGATATTATCATATTATGAAGTTGTACTTTTAATATTGTCAACTTGTACAAAAGTGTAGAGATTCCCCCCATTTAAAATTAATTAAATCAATTAACTTTTTACTTTTCCTGATAGATTCCATGTCACTTCGAAATAATAAATAAATTGTACACATCTCTCAACCAACCCCAATAATTATACACAACATTCATTTTTTCTCAATCACTTATTATTATTATTATTATTATTATTATTATTATTATTATTATTATTATTATTATTATTATTATTATTATTATTATTATTATTATTATTATTATTATTATTATTATTATTATTATTATTATTATTATTATTATTATTATTATTATTATTATTATTATTATTATTATTATTATTATTATTATTATTATTATTATTATTATTATTATTATTATTATTATTATTTATTATTATTATTTTTTTTTTTAATCCAGGGGTCTGGGGGGGAAGGGGCCTGGAGTAATTAGGGCTGAAACTCACTCCATTGAGTTTCAAACCCTTCTGTGCCTAACAGGATTTGAACTCGAGATCTCTCACTAGACACGGTAACCTCACAACCAGCTGAGTTGGAATGTTTGGTTTCTCAATCACTTATTATTCGAAATAATTTCAGCCACTTGCTCCCAACCACTTCCACTCACATAAACCCACTCCCAACCACTAATACTTTTGATCTCAAAAAAATATCTCAGGTACAAAAGTGTAGAGATTTCTACCACTTTAGATTAAATCAATCAACTTTGACTTTTTTTTGGCAGATTCTCTGTCACTTCGAGAACTAATAAATTGTACATATCTTTCAACCTAGCACAATAATTGTACACAACATTTACTTTTTTTTTTGGCAATCACTTATTATTCAAAATAATTTCAATCACGTGCTCCCAACCATCTCCATTCTCCACCCACCTAAACTCACTCCCAATCACCAATAATTTTGGTCTCAAAAAATATCTCGGATACAAAAATGTACAGATTCCTCCCACTTTAAATTAAAGCAATCAACTTTTACTTTTTCTGGCAGAATCTCTATCACTTCAGGAACCAATAAATTATACACATCTCTCAACCAACCCCAATCATTCTACACAACATTGTTTTTTTTCTCAAATACTCATTATTCGAAATAATTTCAACCACTTTCTCCCAACCACTTCCACCCACATAAACCCACTCCCAATCACAAATAATTTTGATCTCAAAAAAAATATATCGGGTACAAAAGTGTATAGATTCCTACTTCTTTCAATTAAATCAAAATCAACTTTTACTTTTTCAGGCAGAATTTATATCACTACGGTAACCAATAAATTGTACACATCTTTCAACCAACCCGAATAATTCTACACAACATTGATTTTTTTCTCAATTACTTATTATTCGAAATAATTTCAACCACTTGCTCCCAACCACTTCCACCCACCTAAACCAACTCCCAACCACCAATAATTTTGGGAGCCCGTTTGGAGACCTCTTTTTTCGGCTTATCAGGCTTATCAGCCAGTTTTTTTACCAAACACGTAACTTTTACTTTTGTGTGCTGAATTGTGTAATAAGCAGAAAAAGTAAGGTTGGAGTTACTTTTCTGGCTGTATTGGCTGAAGTTACTGTAGAGGATTATTTTAGCTATTTTTACATGTAATTTTTTCTATAATTTATTAATAACATATATTTTTAAAATATTTTTTTCTTGAATCAGCAGAATCAGCCAAAACAGTCACTTCAGACAGAATTTCATAAATTTCAGCAGAATCAGCCAAAACAGCCGATTTTCGTGCTACCAAACGGGCTCTTGATCTCAAACGAATATCTCGGATACAAAAGTATATAGATTCCTACCACTGTAAAATAAATCAATCAACTTTTAATATTTTGCAAGACCATTATCCAGGCTGGGATTAGCCATTCTCAATGATGCACCCAAATTCTTTGAACCCTTTTGGAAGGTAATTCATCATCTATCTCATTTCTTCACATTGCATGAACAAATACACACATATTGAGAAGTATTCCATTCTGGCATGAGTGTCATGCAGTGGCATATCTAACACCTGAGTTTTGGGTGTTCGAATTACTTTATAATTTAAGTTTGAAATAGTAATATCGTTTGATGAAATAATACTATACATATTTTCAATAACATGAAAATTGGCAAGTTAAACTAAAATTATGAAATATTGTACAAGTACAATGAATTATTACATCATTTCTGTACATGTAATGATAATTGATACTATGAGCAGATAATATTTGAACTATTGAATTTCTTTAGGTCGGAATTGAGAAGTTGGGCAGATTGAAATTTTAACCTGATCTTTCCTCTATCCCTCTTTATATGTGTGTATGCATCACATTGGTTTGGTTTTTTTGATAGGATATACCTCTTGGGCAGGTTGAGAGTTTGGTGTTTTGTTAACTTAGTAAGTTGCAATTATCTCCACTTTAGATGTTTGTTTGATAGGATATACCTGATGGTATTCTTGTAAGTTGCAAATATCTCCACTTGACCCCGACTGATCCATGTTTATGAATTAGATTGTGACTGTCCACCTCTACATTTTCCTGTCCAAACTCATCCTAAGCTAATTCCACTATAAAATTGTAACTTTGATAGAGGAACAATAGGAGAGTACAATTATATAAAGATTTAGATTTTTTGTTCTGAAAATATTTGTAACATTTATATTTTAAAAGTTCACTACTGCCAGCAAATCAAATGTTATTATTGGGGTTTCCTATAATTTACTAGTCATTAATGAAGTTATATTGCTTTTGCTATCATTTTTTATTTATGCAACTAACGATTGTGAACTATTGTTTTAATTTCAGGTGTTATTAATTTTGGAAAACAAGAGTAACCCGCTTTTGGACACCATGACCTTTTAATTTGAATTTGTCATTTAAATCAAGTTTTTATATTGTATTTGGGGTTGTTAGTATGTAGTATTTAAAATTTTATATTAACTCAAAAAATCTTTATTACTAGCTAGCTACTATGTTTTTTGTTTAGTACTTATTCGAATTTTAAAAAGATTTGCACTTGAATGAATGAAATTCAAATTTTATTTTGACTTTGAACTGTAATTGTATTTGGAATGTATGGGTGTTGTGTATAAATTAGTAAACAATTATTGTTACATATAGTAGATCAATTCCAACAGCATATTAAATGTTGGTATATCATAAAATTAAGTAAGCTAGATACAAGCCTATACTAACACTAGTTACATTGTTGGTACATGATAATGAGCTATTCCAACACTAAAAGGAATATACTAACACTAATTACCTTGTTGGTATATGATAATGAGCTATTCCTACGCTACGAAATACTATCTATGTTGATATCGGTCTATACCGACGCAACGTATACCAACGCTAAAATTAATGTCGGAATTGTATATATAAATTTGTGTTGGTATAGATAAATGGTGTCTATACCAACACATTTTACACCTATACCAACAGTTTTTTTAATGTTAGTATAAGGCACTTTGTTTGTAGTGAAATTAGAGTCGTTTGACTTTTTTGTACACTTCGGGAACCAATAAATTGTACACATCTCTCAACCAACCCCAATAATTCTACACAAGATTGATTTTTTTTCTCTATTTCTTATTATTCGAAATAATTTCAAACACTTGCTCCCCACCACTTCCACCCACCTAAACCCACTCCCAACCACTAATAATTTTGATCTCAAAAAATATCTCGGGTACAACAGTGTACAGATTCCCAACCCCAATCTATCACTTGGGGAACCTACCAATAAAGTGTACACATCTCTCAACCAACCCCATTAATTCTACACAACTAATACAAATCAAATTTTTGGTTCAAATGTTTTTCAAATGAAATAAAAATAATTATGTATTTGATTTGAAGAATAAAATTAGAGTCGTTTGACTTTGATATCTACAATTATCAACTTATTTCACCTTATTTCACACATTATAAGTATAATTTCTAATATGTGTGTTAGTGTTTATTTCAAAAAGTTTAAAATAGATTTATATTTATTAATCATAGAATTGATTCAGTTTAGTATATTGTGCACAATCTAAAAATGTATTAATTCATTGAATTTAAATTCAAAAAACACATATTAAGTCATAGCATGCTTTTACAACATAAAGAAATATAAAAAAGTTGTTTTAAAGTGATATTTGACTAATATTTCACCTGTGCTCAAATCGATTCGGTATTCGTATATAATTCATTAACTATTCGAATTGTTAAATAAATACAAATACAAATCGAAATTAATATTCGTTTCATATTTGACTCGATTCGCTTTATTTACAACCCTATGTACGCACGAGTTAAATAGTTTTGAAATAATGCGAATTAAGTGAAAGCAAAACATAAATCTTTGTCCTGCATTAAAATTACAAATTCATTAAACTTTGACTTCTTTAAAAGAAATTTGTTGCCAAAGTAATAAACTTGAAACTTAAAAATAATGATTCTAGCATGAATACAAATAGTGCTGATATGAAAAATTGAAGTTTTTTAGTTTGCAACGAATTCAATTCCGTAACTAGAAAGAGGAAGAAACGGGGGATTGAATTATTACTTACACCAGTAACCTTTATTGCTTCGTCATAAAGGAGATTTAATTCACGCTCTTCAGGAGTCATGAAAGGGTAGCCATGGTGGGAGTCCATAATACCTACATTATTTAAATACAAGTCATGATCGAACAGATGGGGCTGAAAGATATATGAGAGCAATTGCAAAAAATTACGAATTATTTCAAAAGAAAAAACGTAGCAGGGAGAAGAAAGAGTCACTGGAGATGGGGTGCAGAACGAGATCGCTAGGCGTTCAAAGGGAGAAGTTTTGGCAGAACGAGATCGCTAGGCGTTCGTATATACGGTGTGTATATATGTAGGCGTTCAAAGGGAGAAGTTTTGGCAGACTCCAAAAGTTTCCAAAACTCTTATTTGGCAGATTCCGTATGCAGTTCACATTCTCGATCTGGATAGGAAGATATAGAATGGGGATTTACCCTAAATGGGACTAATTAGCTTTCCTAATTTCAAAGAGTTTTTTCCCGGAATAATGCTGAATAAATAAATAATTCCCAAAATACTGCTGGGTTAAAAATAATTCCCGAAATACTGCTGGATTAACCGTGGTTAAGGAGAGACGCCACTTGAAGTGGCGGCTTTTGTCTTACAGTACAAGAGCCGCCACTTGAAGTGGCGGCTTTTCTAAAACAATAACAGCTCCTGCTGGTAACGAGTGTAATGCTAAAGCCAAGCCAAAGACAACCATAAATTTTATGATATTAGGTCCCACCACAAATAAATATCACCTGTTTTCTTTGAAGTGATATAACATTTTTATTTGTACTCTGATTATAACAAAAAATATACCATCATTCATAACTTTTTATTATCTTTCATATGACACCAATATTGATTATATAAAATCAAAAAATCATTTAACACTTAAAATATTACTGCGTATCTGATTTTAAAGTGTCACATATTTTTTTATTTGTATTCTGATTATTACAAAAGATGAAAAAATATATCAAAATTTAATTTTTTTATTATCTTTTATATGGAAGCAATGTTTCATATAGAAAAATAAAAAGAAAATATATGAATTTATGAAGTTTAGGATCATTTTTTACTATGTGCTCCAGATTTTAATATAATCAATATTGATGTCATGTGAAATAAATTAAAACAACATAAATTCTTGTGCGAAAACTATATAAATAAATGTGATGGAGTTTGTGTGATTTTGTTGTAATCTATCAGTACTCTTGATTAATTTTGTGCATGGTAAAAAACGATCCTAAACTACACAAATTAATATATTTTCTTTTTATTTTTCTATATGAAACATTACTTCCCTATAAAAGATAATGATAATGATAATGATGATGATGATGATGATGATAATAATAATAAAATGATAATAATAATAATAATAATAAAAAATTTTGATATACTCCTTCCGTCCCAATTTAAAAGGCACATTTTCCTTTTTGGGCCATCCCAATATAAAAGGCACATTTCCGTTTTTGTCAAACAAAACAGTGTCAAACAGTGTCCAAACAGTGCCAAACAGTGTCCAAACAGTGTCAGACGGTGTTTCCTCCTAAAAATGTGTGGAAAAGCAAATGTGTCTTTTATATTGGGATGGAGAGAGTATTTTTATAATATTCAGAATACAAATAAAAAATATATATAGCACTTTAAAAACAGATACGCAGCAACATTTAAAGTGTTAAATGATTTTTTGATTTTAAATATTCAATATTGGTGTCATATGAAAGATAATAAAAAGTTATGAATGATGGTATGTTTTTTGTTACAATCAGAGTACAAATAAAAAAGTTATATCACTTCAAAGAAAAAAGGTGATAATTTATTTGTGGTGGGACCTAATATCATAAAATTTATGGTTGTCTTTGGCTTGGCTTTAGCATTACACTCCTTACGAGCTGCTATTGTTTTAGAAAAGCCGCCACTTCAAGTGGCGGCTCTTGTACTGTAAGACAAAAGCCGCCACTTCAAGTGGCGGCTCTCCTTAACCACGGTTAATCCAGCAGTATTTCGGGAATTATTTTTAACCAAGCAGTATTTTGGGAATTATTTATTTATTTAGCATTATTCCGAGAAAAAACTCAATTTCAAAATGGAACTCTGACTTTATTTCTAAAAATGGGACCCCGATGCTCCTTATTAAAACATAAGATATTTTCATTCCTAAAATACCCCTCTTCTTTCTCGCCTAACATCCGATTACCCATCTTCGAATCTCAGTTCTTTCGTCCTCTTCTACTCTGCCTCTGCAAGTTCTCGTTCGAAAGCAACTCTAAAAGTGAGCTTCGTGAGGATGGCAAATCACTTCAGACAAGGATTTCGAATCAAACAGTCTTAATTTATCGAAGCTTTAGATCGGAAAACGTTTGAATTGTTCTCAAATTTTCTGCTCGAGGTCAACTTTTTTACCAGGTGACGTGCACTTGTCGTGAGGTGCACTCAAAATAAATATCAATACGACACTAATACGTAGTATAGCGAAGTAAGGTTCGTATCCACAGGGAAAGGAATATTTCTCTTTTTAATTAACTAGTAACAAAAGGGGGGGTTTAGGTTTGAGTGATTTAATTTAATTAAATACGAAGATGAACGAGTTATGTGATTTAATTAATGAGAAGAAGACTTGGTTTTGCTTTTATCCACTTAATGAAATGTTCGTCGATCCCGGTCATATCTTTAACTATCTTCCTCTCGAATACTCAATCGAGGAGTATATCCAGTTCATCGAGGGTAGTTATTAATAACGAGACGCGTTCATTAATAAAACTTACTACCGAGTCAATATAGAACAAGCGCCGTATATTGACTTGATAGTAGCAATAAAATCAAGATGAAAACGATTGAGATTGATAACCTCAACACAAGCGGTTTATTGGTTTAATCAATATAATTAATTCCCCTTGGCTTATTAATCATGAGAAGCATGCATTAACAACCCAAGTTTACTACCATTGAAAGAACCGAATTAATAACAAGCGTATTAACCGATTGATTCTAGTAATAATTAATATATGGAACAAAACTAGTTGATCCTTTAAGTAATGTTCAAAATATTAATATGAAATATGAATAGGAATTAATTAATACTCAAGAAAGAATATTAAAGAAGATGAATCCTACTATAGTTAATATCAAGATGTTAACTAATTGTCATCTTAGTAACACTCCCCGATATTAACGTAGAGGAAGAAATAACTATTACTATAACTAATGTCAAGATGTTAACTAATTGTCATCTTAGTAACACTCCCCAACATTGATATATAAATAGTATTTAAAGAAAGAATTAATATTCAAGGAAGAAGATTAAAGATAATAACTCACAACTTACAAATTCATTAAGCTTCAAAGGAGCAAAACCAAGATGGAAGGGTTTAGCTCCTCATTTGGAGACTAAACATGCTATAAAAATATAAAAGAAATACTATTCTAAACTGAACTTAAGAGTATGGAAGAAGGGATTATTAAAAGTGAAGGAAAATGGGGCTATTTATAGGTGTTTTTCAACACCTTTGGCCGGGTACCCGACCGGGTAAAGTGCCCACCCGACCGGGTGCATGTCAAAATCAAATATCTTCCACGTTCTGGCGATCTTCGGCACGTTCTGGTGTTCCGGGTCAAGTCGGACCCGACCGGGTGAAATACCTCACCCGACCGGGTGATGTAATTTCCTGAGCAGTTTCGCATTTAAATTTCTCACCCGACCGGGTGCAATACCTCACCCGACCGGGTGATTGTCCTGGGCAGCCAAGAATTATTTTTCTTCACATTCAAAGTCTTCCTTTCCAACACCATAAATCCTAACTCTACTTTACAACTTACAAATGAGAACTAAAATACAATTACAACTAAAATCACACAAATGTTTATAAACTAAATAAAATGGTAAACAATCCACACAAATCAAACATAAAAAGACACATTTATGCACTACTAATTAGTGCATATCAAACACCCCCACACTTGAACCTTTACTCGTCTCGAGTAAACCAAATCCAGTCCAAGAAGTCCTTAAATTGACAAGAGTATCAACACCAACATCCACGTGTGTTTTTAGAACAACACAAAAAAAAAAAAAAATATCCCCCAAAATATAACAGTAAAGAGGGGTCTTTAACTCCATATTTCTTATCAACCTCAATTTTTTTTAGTTACCCGTAGGATCCTGCAGAAATAAAAGAAAATCCTTTCTCTCATTCTCTCATTTTGCCTAGGTGCCCTTTCGGGTTTTCATCCCAGCTTCCCACATTTTTCTGTTTTAATCCTCACAACTCACTCTTATTTTTGCTTTATTTTTGCTTAAGTTGCCTTTTCAGGTTTTCAACTTAACAAGCTCTTTTTTTTTTTGAAAATAATACAAAAATATAGAGTATGAATGTGAGTTTTCCATGAAATTCTCCCCCAAGCTAATCAAAGCACTGTCCCTAGTGCTTGTCTCCGAGATGTCCAAGAGAATGAATCTCTTTGCCCTTTTTTGGTGTCATTTCCTTTTTTTTTTTCGGGTGAGGAAGTTTCGGCTTTTGTTGTTTTTGGAGTAAGGGGGTTTGGATATTTGGTTATTTGGGGCGTTTTTTTTTTGTGTGGGTGTAAGAGTGAAGATGGTGATGAGGAGATGAAGAAAATGGGGTTTTTGATGGATTTGGTGTAGAAATGGTGGGGTTTCGGAGCTTTGGAGCTCAACAATGGAGATTTAGGGGATTTTTAAACGTGGGGGAGAAGAAGAAATGGGGGAAGAAAGCTGCCTGCCCGCCCCCTTATCGGGCTTTTGCCCAACCGCCCGGCCGGGTATAGTGACTGACCCGGTCGGGTGTAAGCTGTTCACCCGAGGCAGAAAGTTTTTGCCAGATCACCCGGCCGGGTATTAGGGTCTACCCGGTCGGGTAATAGTTAATCCCAGTTTTTTTTTGCACACACACTCTACTTAATAAAATGATAACAGAAAACATACCTTGCTTGGGTTGCCTCCCAAGAAGCGCCTTATTTAACGTCGCGGCACGACGCCATCATTGTGTTCAATCGTTCAAGCTTGGATCGTGATAACTCATCTTCTTCAAATTTTCACCCAGGTGACTCTTATAGAAATGCATTATTTTTCGACCCTCTATTTTGACAATCTTTCCGGGATCAAATATCCGGATTTTTATCGCTTCATGGAGTGAGGGTCCATGATTTTCACTAAGCATGGTCAATGGAAAGGGTTTTGATCCGGGTGGTATAAGAGGGAGTATGAGATATTTGTGTAACTCCACCATTATTCCTTGCTTATTTGTGAACAAAGAGAAGTCTAAATTATACTCACAATTGCTGAAGATTTCATAGATATCTTTGTCCTCCACCCTTTGTGTTTCCCTTAGAGCCTCAGGAAATGGTGGCATGATATCAAGAATGACCGGTGGTTGAGTTGAGTTTTGAGGTTCCTCCTCCGGTTGAGCTTTCTCCGTAAGCTCCTCTTCTTCCTCCTCCTCGCCCATGTGGTTCACAATGCTTGACATTTGTTTCAACTGATTGTCCAAGTTCTGTTCGTTGGACACTGTTTCTTGTGGGAATTGTGACATATTTTGTTGCATATTTGTCACATCGATAGTGAGAGCTCGGATCATGTCTTCAGTGGACATGCTGGAATAAGAACTTGAGTATGAGTTATATGTGTTGGAGAATGAATCATACCTCTCTTGGAAACCAACATCATTCCTTTGTTCAAAGTATTCTTTTTGAAGCTCTGGGCAAAAATCCGTAAGATGCCTGTGTGACATGCAAATGTTGCATGTATGGACATCTTGAGAACATGAAATAAACTCCTTTATCAGAGAAGTCAAGTCGGAAATTTGACTCTCTAGGGATGATGTGTTGGTATCCATATACTCATGAAAGCTCAGAAAATAGAAAAGTAAGATTTTTATTTATATTTTTTTTTAAATTTTTTTTTGTTTTTGATTTTTTAAAAGATAAAATAAAAAGAAAAATAATTTCCTTTCCCCGGCAACGGCGCCAAATTTGACGTGCACTTGTCGTGAGGTGCACTCAAAATAAATATCAATACGACACTAATACGTAGTATAGCGAAGTAAGGTTCGTATCCACAGGGAAAGGAATATTTCTCTTTTTAATTAACTAGTAACAAAAGGGGGGGTTTAGGTTTGAGTGATTTAATTTAATTAAATACGAAGATGAACGAGTTATGTGATTTAATTAATGAGAAGAAGACTTGGTTTTGCTTTTATCCACTTAATGAAATGTTCGTCGATCCCGGTCATATCTTTAACTATCTTCCTCTCGAATACTCAATCGAGGAGTATATCCAGTTCATCGAGGGTAGTTATTAATAACGAGACGCGTTCATTAATAAAACTTACTACCGAGTCAATATAGAACAAGCGCCGTATATTGACTTGATAGTAGCAATAAAATCAAGATGAAAACGATTGAGATTGATAACCTCAACACAAGCGGTTTATTGGTTTAATCAATATAATTAATTCCCCTTGGCTTATTAATCATGAGAAGCATGCATTAACAACCCAAGTTTACTACCATTGAAAGAACCGAATTAATAACAAGCGTATTAACCGATTGATTCTAGTAATAATTAATATATGGAACAAAACTAGTTGATCCTTTAAGTAATGTTCAAAATATTAATATGAAATATGAATAGGAATTAATTAATACTCAAGAAAGAATATTAAAGAAGATGAATCCTACTATAGTTAATATCAAGATGTTAACTAATTGTCATCTTAGTAACACTCCCCGATATTAACGTAGAGGAAGAAATAACTATTACTATAACTAATGTCAAGATGTTAACTAATTGTCATCTTAGTAACACTCCCCAACATTGATATATAAATAGTATTTAAAGAAAGAATTAATATTCAAGGAAGAAGATTAAAGATAATAACTCACAACTTACAAATTCATTAAGCTTCAAAGGAGCAAAACCAAGATGGAAGGGTTTAGCTCCTCATTTGGAGACTAAACATGCTATAAAAATATAAAAGAAATACTATTCTAAACTGAACTTAAGAGTATGGAAGAAGGGATTATTAAAAGTGAAGGAAAATGGGGCTATTTATAGGTGTTTTTCAACACCTTTGGCCGGGTACCCGACCGGGTAAAGTGCCCACCCGACCGGGTGCATGTCAAAATCAAATATCTTCCACGTTCTGGCGATCTTCGGCACGTTCTGGTGTTCCGGGTCAAGTCGGACCCGACCGGGTGAAATACCTCACCCGACCGGGTGATGTAATTTCCTGAGCAGTTTCGCATTTAAATTTCTCACCCGACCGGGTGCAATACCTCACCCGACCGGGTGATTGTCCTGGGCAGCCAAGAATTATTTTTCTTCACATTCAAAGTCTTCCTTTCCAACACCATAAATCCTAACTCTACTTTACAACTTACAAATGAGAACTAAAATACAATTACAACTAAAATCACACAAATGTTTATAAACTAAATAAAATGGTAAACAATCCACACAAATCAAACATAAAAAGACACATTTATGCACTACTAATTAGTGCATATCACCAGGTATTATGTCCAATTATTCAATTTTTTTACTTTCGCCTATTTTGCTCATTCGATTTCGATGAATTTCAGTTTGTTTTTCCTGTTTTCGAAGTGTTCTAATGCATCTTAGTATCATTTTTTTAGAAGTTCTCTAATTTGTTCCGATCTCATTAATGTTCTAAGATTCATCAATTCGTTTTTGCAGTGTTCTCATATATTGTAATCGCTGTACTGGATCGTGTTTTGCTTATCATGGTCAAGTTGGATTGTAACACCGTCCCCAAATGTATTTACTTTTAAGTGAATAATGTATTGAACCTTATGGGATGGTTAATGAGTATACGAAGTTGTGAATTTCTAATATGTCTTTTGCGTGAATAGTAAATTCGCACGTGGGGCCCACAACGGGAGCGGGGCCGCCCGATATTTCCGAGACCGTATATTTTATTCACCGTAGTCGAAATAATGTTCATATAGAGATGGATAATTTATTTGGTCCAAAGAAATGACATAATGTAGACCGATTGGTCAAAAGAAGCCCAAATATCGGTTTTGGCAATTTCACAGATAATAGCCCAGAAATGAATTTCGGAGACTTATAAATTTAAGTTGGGGAATGTATATTCATTATAAAGGGTATAATGATTAAGAACACATAATATATTTTATTTGACCCGATAAAATAAAATATATTTAAAACAGTCCGAAAAATACAACTTTCGGGATCGATTGGACACTTCTAGACAAAAAGGGTCGACCTCCCACATGTGTGGGGGCCAACCCACAAATTTGGTCACCCAAATTTAGATATTTGGCCGGCTGAAGTGATGAAGGAACATGGGAGAGAGTGTGATATGAGTGAAATGGAATCAAAGAAATAAAAAATAAAGTGGGCCTCTCCCCACACCACTCATTCTATTGAGACAAAAGAATGCAACCACCTCCTTCCATCCTCATCATTCGGCCATAATCTCAAGAGAGGGAGGAAATCCCAGAAAAAAATAACACCTTCCATAGCCAAGGACAAGCAAGCTCAAGGAGGTCCAAGGGAAAGGTTTTCGGAAGGAAAAACTAGGTGGATTAAGGTAAGGACCTTATAATAACTTTTCCTCTATTCTTTAATTATCATATGATTTATATGTCATATGAAGAACCCCTAGGATTGTTCTACATGTTATGAGTGTGGAATAATGGGTTGGAAGGTGGTTCTATGTCCAAAAACGGACATAGAAGCCAAAACGACCGGTTTACCGGAAAATAACCTTTTAGAGGTTATTTGTATTGATTATGGTTTTATGATGTTAAAACCTTGTTAGGGACTTGATTAAAGTATTTTTGAGCTTCGCCGGAGTTGGTCAAAGTTCGCCGGAGTAGGTCAAAGTTCGCCGGATTTAGTCAAAGTTCAATCAAGAAGCGTAGAACGCGCGTAAGCTCACTTAAGGTGAGGATGACCGACTATATTGCTTATAACCTTTGGGTTAATTTCATGAGATTTCCTAAATGAATACAAAATGTGATTTGCATGGATTATTAATGGTTAATAATGCCTAAATGAAATTACTATTGATTATAAGTATAGTTCGCATAATATATAAATTTATTGAATAAATTGTGTATGTTTATATGTTATGAATATGATGGCATGATAGTAGTATCAACCATAAATCCCATTTGTGATAAGTATGCTTTTATTTCATGAGAAGAAGCCATGAAAGAATAAAAGTGATATTTTGATATTAAGGCCAAATTACATACGAATGAAGAATTATATTGAAATGAGTAAATAACTGGTATTGAAATATTAGTTGGAATTGTAATTGAATAATGGATGAATGGATCCTAAGAAATTGAATTGTAAGGAATCGGTGATTATTGAGCTGGGCTCTAGACCGATGTAGATAACGGTGATTATTGAGCTGGGCTCTAGACCGTAGTAGATAACGGTAATTATTGAGCTGGGCTCTAGACCGTAGTAGATATCGGTGATTATGGAGCTGGGCTCTAGACCGGTGTAGATGACGGTGATTATTGAGCTGGGCTCTAGACCATAATAGGTAACGGTGATTATTGAGCTGGGCTCTAGACCGTAGTAGGTAACGGTGATTATTGAGCTGGGCTCTACACCGTGGTAAATAACGATGAATTGACACTAAACGAACAAAGTTAACTATGACATGATAATACCGTGGTTTGAGGGTCTTGGAATTTGAAACATTGATTATATTTAGTATAGTTGTCATTGTACTTGTCAAATGCTTCCAAGTACTAACCTCCCCTTCACGGGGGAGGCCACCTCACAGTTTCAGGTAGAACTTGAAGGTTGCTACCATCGCCCACTTGTTCCGGGAAAATCAAGGAGAGAAGACGTGGTTCGTGCTTCCTCCAATTCTGTTTGAAAACAATTATATTAATGCTCATGGATATTATATTTTTTAATAATTAATTGGGCTTGTATGCCCATGTTTGCCAAAGTGTGGGATGAACACTTGTATCAAATGTTTCCGCTGCTTTGAATGAATATTTTTTTTTACATTATGTTTGTTTATGGATGCACTATGTGTGAACGATATTCCAGACGCCTTGTATAGTATGGATGAGTCGGACTGCGGTTGACTATTCGTACTGTACGGTGGATTGTTGACGTGTCCGGTTAGGTTCGGGGCATGACATGGATGGTATATGGGGGGTTGACTTTGTCTTCGTGAACAAAGCGACATTAGGTATTCATGTCCTATATTCTTGCACATATTCATCACTCTTAGACATCTTGAATGGCAGTATTGATCAAATCAAATGCAATCCACGTTTCACCATATCATACCTTGTTGAATCCTGTCCTCCACCTGTTAGAGTCAATGATGATGATAGTTTACGCTTTTATATTGATCTTAAGATTCTTCTATCAGATTTCTCAAAGTATCCTCTGTGTATACAATTTGACAAAGAGGAACTACCTAGTTATGATCCTGTTTTACCTGTTTCTACTCCAAATACTTTGGTCACACCTGCAGCTTGTTCTAATGTTGATTTGTGCAATGCAAATACCGGTTTCACTGTTGTCCATTCTCTAGAACAATACTTGCATCCTGAAATATCTTCATGTACTCCTGAAATTAGTTTTGATAATGTTCTTTCATCCACATCTTCCTTTTATGTCGATCAGTTGAGTGTTTCCTTGAATAAAAATACCTTTGAAGAGCACAGTCCATGCAGTGGTGTACTTCCTGAATTTTTGAATGAGGATTCCCTTGATGAGGACTCACTTTCTCCTTCTTCTGAAAATTTAGAAAGTCATTCTTCACATGCATTTGTGTTAGACCAAAACTATGATGTCATTACACGTTATTCTGCTACTAAGATTGTGCTCCATGGTATATACGAGAACAAGCAAGCTCTACTTTATCACCTTAGAATGTACACGATCAATAATAGCTTCCAATTTTATTCAAAGACTTCAAAGAACCATTCATTGCATGTGATGTGTTTGGACAAAGAAAATTGTAAATGGGTTGTTCGTGCTGTTAGGCTCAAAGGTGTTCAGCTTTTTCAAATTAAAAGGTATAATTCTTAATTCATTCATATTTTTGTAGTTGTTTCTAATGTTTTTTAAGAATCTTCCATTATGTGTTTCCTATTTCAAAGTTTCATTGCTTAAGAATACTGTCACTGCACACCTTGTATTTCCAAGCATGTATATTGTCATCTCCTACGTTCTTCCACCTGTGTTTATATTATTTTCATTGTGTTCATGTACTGTCAAAAATTACTGCCACGCATGTACCTTCTCTCGTACTTTTTATATGCAGCAGTTTATATTTATTCGTTGTTCTTTACATATAGGTTTGATGTTGATCACACTTGCTCAATAGACTTTAGGCAAGGTGTTCGTCACAGGCAGGCCACTTCTGCAATGATTGCTGAGCTTGTACCAATAAACCATATACACCTAAACAAATCAGGGATGATTTGTTGTTGCAGTATGGAATACCGATATCATACAAGAAGTCTTGGGCTGCAAAGAAATCTGCCATGAGAAAACAATTTGGTTCAGATTCAGAGGCATACCAATTGTTGCCGTCGATGCTCCATATGCTAGACCAACCTAATCCAGGATCTGACGTGTTGCTCATTAGAGGGGCTAATGATGTGTTTCGCTATTTGTTCATGTCACTTGCACCATGGAAGAGAGCATGGGAGCATTGCATTCCTGTTCTTATTATCGATGGTTCTTTTATGAAGGCGTACTACAAAGGGACATTACTTACCGCATGTAGCCAAGATGCAAACAAACAGATTGTGCCTTTAGCGTTTGCTGTATGTGATTCTGAGAGCACTGCGTCCTGGAAGTGGTTCTTTACAAGGCTCAAAGAGTGCCTTAAACATCGTGATAGACATAAAGGTATAATCAAAGCTGCAAAGGCCATCTTTCCACACGCTTCCCATGGATATTGTTATGAACATCTGCGGCGTAATATGAGATCCAAATTTCGAGGTAAGTCATCCAACCATGGTTGGAAATTTAAAGCTGCATGGGAGGCTGCAACTGTGAATGAATGCTATCAATATTTGTCCATGTTGGATGAGGAAGATGCTAGGATTCGTCCGTGGCTAGAGAAGATTGGAACGGAAAAGTGGGCTCCAAGCATGGCAGTTAAGAGTCGATGGGGTGTTATGACCTCTAACTGTGCAGAGGCCATGAACAGCATGGATGCTAATGCAAGAGAGTACCCTGTCGGTAAGCTTTTGGATTTTATCCGAGAAAGAATGCAAACATGGTTTGCGGAGCGGCTGGAAGATGCAACTTCATCAACTACTCATTTGACTCTAAAGTTTGAGAAACATTTAGTTTCATTACAGAGGGATGCTTCAAGGATGAGGGTAACAATCTCATTTTCTCTGTGTTTCACTTTTTGATTTAGTTACTGGCAAGCGTATACTGTCACATTTATTACATGAATGTGACAATGTTTCATTCACATTTCTATTGTACTGCCATGTTCTAGTTTATCCTTGTGTTGTATTGACTGTATTGTTCTATCTATAATTCACATCTTTCATTAACCTTAATTTTTCAGGTTAAACTGTCATGCCGTTATGAATTTGAAGTTGTTGATAGACTTCGTAGATGTTTTATTGTCAATCTCAATGACCGAACATCCACGTGCCGTATGTTTCAATTAGAGCATTTTGTTTGTGTACATGTTGTAGCTGCCATAGGCACACGCGCTGGTATTTCCTGCTATGATTATATATCATATTATTATACGAGACAGTCTGTGTTGAATACCTATAGTGGGGTGGAACATCCAATTGGTGATGTATCTTCTTGGATAGTTCCACCTCATGTTCAAAGTATTGTTTGCAAGCCACCTTCATGTTCTGAAAGACGAGCTGGTCGACCAAAAACAAAAAGGATACCATCAGTTGGTGAATTCCGTGCAACCAAACGGCTGGTCGTTGCCATTCTGCTGGGCATAACAAAAAAAGCTGCAAGAATGCACTTACAATTCATTCTTAAGAAGTTGTTTCGTACTGTATTTCCTTTTAATTCTACTTTTAGTTTTGGTTACATTTTCATTCCTGTGTGAAGATTGAGATACATTTATTACACACTGTTGTGGTTCTTATATTTCATTATATTGAATATTGAACATTGAATATATGGTATTTTGTTTACTGAGATATCATTCTTAAAGGTACTGTCATTTCATGCACCTGTTGAATATATTACTGCCTAATATTGCCAGTATGAATTATTCAAATACTGCCAACAAGTATTGGCATCAAATGCAATATCTGTCATTATTTCTCTATAAACTTATTACTTTATTCATAATGTCAGTATATAATATTATCTTTAATAAAAACTTCCTTAATACTGCCTGTATGGTGGAGTATAGAATATATTTAATGTCAGTATTCACTCTGTGAGTAGATACTGCCATCATATAGCAATATGATGATATTATTAACTATCACCTTAAATCATGAATTCAAAGTGATTGCAGTACAACGTATTCACGATGGCAGTACGATGACAGTATTACTCCATATTTTAGTTATTACTTCCAAATAATTGCAGTACTTCGTGTTTTAAATGGAAGTAGGATGACAGTATTTACTTTCAACTTTAGGCATTACTTCACATTCATCAATGGCAGTAGTAATCCTATTTAGGACACATATTTCCTTTTAAAAGAATAGCATTACATATGTCCCAATATCAACAAAAGTGCATCAGCATCGTAAATACATTCCAAATATAAGTAGCAATGTCAAGATATTAGCCAAATACAATTTAAGCAAAATACATCAGTACCCCATTGTCATGTGTGCTAAACATTAAAAAGAAATTGTTTCAAACGGCCATATTGTGATTACTAAGTCAATTATCCCACAGTATTACATATAAGCAAGTGCATCTTGTTGCTTATTTCACTGAATCCTTGGTCCTTCTTTCATTGTACATCATTAACTCTGTTGCCATTTTCTTCCTGTACATAGGCATGTCTTCAGGTTTGATTTCGTTGATGTCCCTTCCCATCATCAAGAATTCCGCAAACTTTAGCAAGAACATTCCACAGTTTCCACTATATTACAAGACAAATAACAGTTGATTAGAATAATATATAACAAATATTATTTTAAATAGTGAATAAATAGTTGTGAAAATTGAATAATTATTGCTTATCATGCCTATCATTCTGTTGGGGACAATTTTCTACACCTTCAATCTGAATTTTTTTTTCACCCATATGTCCACCACCAATTCCATCATACACACCATACTTGTCCAAGATTTTTGGCAGTATACTTGTCAAGCCTTGTAGAAATTCGCCAATAACTCTCAGGGACTCTCCTCTTCTGCATTTAGAGTTATAAACCCTCATCATCCTGCTTTGTAAATCAAGAACCACTAACACCCAGTGGTTTCCATTGTTCACTGGCATGTAGACAAAATCTACTTCAGACCATGCACTAGAGACATCTTCTCTACTTCCTAAGATTTCAGTCATTATAGCATCATCATCTGCAGCCTCGTCCACAGTGATCTTCTTTTTTGCAACTTTAATTTATCATTCTCTGTCTTTAAGTGGGTAACAAAAAAGGGGCTTGTTGTGGTCAACTTTTGAGGGAGCTTGTACTGCTCAGCTTTGTATTTTAAGTAATACATTCCCACTTCTATATGCTGTTGAATAAAATGTTTACATAGTTGTTAGAGTACATTTTCACAAATGATCAGAATTTAAGTAATTAATTGATGGATATGTCATTGAATATTTGAATTAAAACATACCGTATCGCGTAACCATTCTGGGTTGGTAAACAGCTCATACAACCATGTCTTTGAATCAATAGTCATGCAGTCCAACAGAAATGGCTTTCCATGCATGTTTTCATCATGTTTCTTATATTTTACAGAGCCTATACCACGCTTTCTGTTTTTCAGCAATCCAACTTTTAAATAAGTTGCCACTTTATCAACCTAATTCTTCTCTGGCATATGCTTTGGATCTTCAGAAAATGGACCGTTGAGCTCTAGTGTTCGCGGCAATGACTTTTCCTGAACCTTCTTCTTCGCTTTGTCAACCTTCCTTCTCTTTTTCTCCACAGTTCTCTCTGATGGCGTGTAGCGCTCCGGAGATCTAGGTTTCCTTTTGGACTTTTTTACACCTGCAGGTCCATAAATCACAGCTAGAGGTTCTGGTTCTTGGTAAACCTGTATAATTTTGCACTGTATGATCAAGTGTCAGTACGCTTTATATTTTATATACCATTACTGCCAACAGATCATAAATGTTCTCATTACTTACTGGCAAGTACTGTCATGTCACTTAATTTTCCATTAAATATTAACTACACACTATTACTGCCAATATAGGATGCATATGCATGTAGAACATCATTGCCATCCTATGTCAGTACATACAATATTTGACAATACTCATCACCTACTCTGTGTTACTGCCAACGTTGACACATACTTATGTTCAATACTGTCTTGTTTGTCAGTAACTATATCAGACATTTGGCAATACTCATCACCTACTATGTGTTACTGCCAACGTTGACACATACTCATGTTCAATACTGTCTTGTTTGTCAGTAACTATATCAGACATTTGGCAATACTAAAAAGTACGTACTGTCAGAATTAAGCGCTAACAGAACTATACCTGATTTATAGCACTTGCATCTTCTTTCTTTGACTTGCTTTCCAGTTTCCTTTCTACCTCTTCCATTTTCTGCAATATATTGAGATATTAATTATTATTATTATTATATATATTACTTGAATATGTATTGAACAATTTTGAATTTCATACCTTTGTGGATTCCTCAATGGTTGTTTCAGTTGACTTCTCTTTTCTCTTTTGTATGGTTTTGTTAACCAGCTCATCCACTTTGAGCAACTCATCCTCATCATAATCTGATCTGTGTCATCATCATTCAATTTTCTCCAGTCCTCTTTTCCAGTATAATTGCCAACATGCATCTTCTCACTTGTGCCATCAACAACTGGCTCATGAACAACTGGCTCATGAACAACTGGCTCATCAGTTTTTTTCACAAGCTCTTCTTCTTGTGAAGAAAAACCAAATATATTGAACAATGGTCTTTGAGAATCTATCTCATTCTCAGACACTTCAGCATTCTCCTTTTCAACAACGGTGCCATCTTCCTCTGCCATTGCTTTCTTTTCATTAGAACTTTTATTTTATTTTATTTTTTTTTTTTTTTTGGCCGGGGAACATCTCACCTATTTATTAGAAAGAAGAAAGTGTACAAGAGTACGAGGACTAGACCAAAGCGTACTCGGAAAATTAAAAAACATATGGATAACTAATTGCATCAAATTTTAGAATGCCAACAAAATGACTAAAATGATGAGTGTTGGTTTTAATCGAGTGATTATGATAAGCTGAAAACTCTGCAGCTCTATTGATTCGTGGGTTTATAACGGCAATAGTCCAGTTGAGATTCCTGAGTTTGGATTTTATCGTTCGGATCCGCGACCACATTTCCCAATGCTGGAGTTTTTGTCCAGTGATTCCATCATAGATGTCTTGATTTTCCACCTCCAAGACAATGTTATGTAGATTGAGATTCTGCAAATGGGGTACAATGTTAATAATCACATCATATAAAGCCTTTGTGCAGTTTGATCTGGTTATAAGCTGGGTATAATGGGCGACGTAATTGCCCATGTTGTCTCGGATGAGGGCAGCAGTACAGCCTAACCCGGATGTGATTGTACGGAAAGCAAAATTAATTTTGCTAGCATTCCCAATGGGCTTGATCCAGTAATTAAGGGAGGGTCTGGTAATATTTTTTGGGGGATTGGTCTGGATGATAAAGGGAGGGGTATAACCAGTAGTGATATAAGGCTTAGCAACAGATTTTTCAAAAATATCGCTTTTAATAGCATTAATTGCCTCAGAGGTTCGACCAGTTTTATCATCATAGAGGTAGGCATTCCTGTATTTCCAAAGCTGCCAAGTGATGCTGTTAGGAACAACATGGTTAAAATCACTGATTGGGCTTTTAAAATCCATATACCAGTAGTTTAGATAGGTACTGAAGTTACCATGATGAGGAGGGTGAAAAGCAAAAGCATTTTCAAAAAAGTCCCACACTCCATTACTGAAATTACAATCTAAGAAGAAATGATTTATGGTGTCTGGGTTTTTGCAGAAAGGGCATTTGAAAGGCCCATGAATATTCATTTGTTTAAGTTTATCCTCAAAAGGGAGGATTTTGTTTTGTAGCCTCCATAAAAAGAAAGATATTTTCTTAGGGGTACGGTTGTTCCAGATAAACTTGGCAGCCGGATTGCAGTTCATTTTTGGTCGAATCGCATCATAGGCGCTACTAAAAGTGAAAGTGCCATTACTGTTCGGTTTCCAAATGGTCTTGTCATCAGCCTCACTATAATGGATGTTCATACCATAAATTTTGTCAATGATAGGCCGGGGCAGACTGTTATAGACAGTCTGGATAAGAGTTTTATGGGGCATAGCTTCCCGGATGGAAAGGTTAATGAGGCTGGGAGGAATATCTTCCTGAAAAAGATAAAGCGGACCAATGTCACACCCGTTGGAGTACCAGAAAGAGTTGTCTCCTTTGTTTACCTGAATGTAGCAATTATCATCGAAAATGGTATTCACCGAGCTAAGAGACTTACTCATAACAGAGAGGGACTCGTCCTTAAGAGAGTTGACCCAAAAGGCCCATAAACCTGTTTTGCTTTCCAACTTCCACTTAAGTTTAAGGAAAAAAGTGTTCTGAATATGAGTAAGGTTTCTGAAACCCCGCCCATTTTCATCAACGGGATAACAAACCTTTGTCCAGCTTCTCCAAATATGCGCATTATGGTCATGGTTTTTATCCCAAAGAAAATTAGAGAGTTTCCTCTCCATTTTTTGAATAATAGTTTTAGGAAAAGGGGACACAGCCATATAGAAAAGGGGGAGGGAGCTGAGAACGTGCTTAATTAGCACCATCCTACCACCCACAGAAAGGATCTTGTGCTTCCAACCTGCCAACTTAGAATCAAATTTGGTAAGAATATTTTCAAAATGAAAGTTAAGAGTTCTACCAGTATGAATATTAGCTCCCAAATAAGTGAAAGGAAAGGAGCCACGCCTCATGTTGAAAATATCATTTACATTTTTGCAGCTACGGTTTTTAGCA